CAGAGAGCGGGTAGTCCGGGGTACTGTCACGTGCGGGGTTCCACAGGGCTCGGTTTTGGGGCCGACCCTGTGGAACATAGGCTATGATGGAATTCTCAGGCTGTGCATGCCGGTTGGGTGCGCAACCTTGTGTTATGCTGATGACACTTTGGTAACAGCGTGCGCGGGTGATTTCGAGGAAGCTCGCGTAAGGGCGGAGATGGGCACCACTGTAGTGGTACGGGCTATAGAGAGGTTAGGGCTGAAGGTCTCGATAGCCAAGACCGAGGCTATCGCTTTCATGGCAAAGGATATTCCGCGGGGTGCCGTGGTCCGTATAGGCGGGACGGTGGTCCCGATCGGTTCCACCGTGAAGTACCTGGGCTTAACCCTGGACTCGCGGTGGACCTTTCGGGGCCACTTTAGCGTGCTGGTACCAAAGGCATGGGGGATGGCGACATCCCTTGCCAGGTTAATGGCTAATGTGGGGGGCCCCGGCGAGCGTAGAAGGAGGACCTACGCTGCGGTCGTTATGTCCGTCATCCTTTATGGTGCACCCATATGGGCGCAGACGGCGGCCGAAGACCGCGGTATATTAAAGGCGGTACGTAGGCTCCAGCGACAACTGGCACTTCGGGTCATCAGGGGGTATCGTACTATCTCTGGCGAAGCCGCGGCCATTCTGGCTGGAATGGTCCCTTTTGACCTAGCGGCCAACCGTCTCAGACGGTCCTATATCCGAAGACGGGACATTATTGCCCGGGATGGTGCGATATCCCCTGGTGCGAGCGCAACTCTCCTCGAGTTGGAGCGCCGTAGGGCGATCGCTAGGTGGAATAGGCGCATTGAGGAACTGCCTCCGAGTGGCCCGGGCGCGGGGGTGCGCGAGGCCATGGGCGGCGACTTGGAAGCATGGGTGGGAAGGGCTCATGGGGCCCTCACCTACCGCATGACCCAAATTATGACGGGGCACGGGGTGTTCAACGCCTACCTTTATAGGATAGGGCGTATGGGCACCCCGATATGTATTTTCTGTCGCGCGGCCAACGACACGGCTGGTCATACCCTTTTGTTTTGCCCGGCTTGGGCGGAACAGAGGGGTGACCTATTAGAAATAATAGGGGTGGATAGAACGGTCAGAGCGGTGGTGAGGGCCATCGTGCGCTCGCCCGAAGCGTGGGCCGTATTCGCTACATTGTGCGAGACGATCATGAGGCGTAAAGAGGAGGAAGAACGCGACCGCGAGCGGGAGCAAGCTGCCCGGGAGCAAGCGGCTCGAGAGCAAGCGGGAGCACTGGCCCCTCGAAATGGGCAAAGCTCCGATGATCAACATGTGGGAGGAGCTCACAGAGGATGTACATAGTTGTAAATAGTAGTTAATAAGCTCCAAGGACCACTTGTGAGAGGAGCAAAGCGGTATAAATTGTATATATATTGTATATAAAGACTTAATAGAGTAAGAGTAGGACTTACATAGAATAAGCTAAATGTAGAATAGCATCAGAGCGGAGAACCCGCATAAAGAGGTAGAGAGTCGAATGACTCTAACGCTGGGGGGCAGTCCGAGGTTATGCTGAAATGCGGTTCCGGACTGTCCCCCAATAGGCAAGGGCGGTGGTACGCCTAGGGGGGGAGTTTTTAGTCGGTAGGCGGCCGTCTCGGTGCGTCCCTTGGATACATGGTATCTCAGGGATCACGAGATGGTCGAATCCGGCACTCCCGATGGTACGGGCCGTCGGGGGTCTTCCCCTTCACGATGGGTGTCCCGAAAGGGTCCCCCTCGTGAAGGGGTATAAGAAGATTTTCTCCTCCCACGTAAAACAAAAAAAAAATGACGCAAAACGGGTCAATATGCGAGAGAAGTTTCTTGAAAAAGTGAAAAAAGTGATGCGAACGGAAGGTTACGATCCGCATCAAGTTATCAACATTGATCAGTCGAGATTTGATAAGGAGATGCATGGACATCGCACACTAAACATTAGAGGTCCAAAACAGATATATTCCCAAATAGGGTCAAAAAATGCAACCACACACTCGTACATGACCAATGGTCAGCATGAGTGGTCGTTTAATGGACCTGTTGTATGTAAAAAGTCAAGAAACACACTCGAAGACGAAAGGTTATTGTTTTCCTGAAAATACAATCATTCCACCAAACATTGTTGCATTTCCAGGTTTATCGGCAATAATGAACAATTATGATTTGAAGATCTTTTTGCGTCAAGTATTGTTTGAACAATTAAAGAGAGAAAATATCATGAATTGTCTTCTCCTTTGTGATTCGTGGAGTAGCAATAGAAACGATGACATTTTTTATGAGGTTGCAACTGAATTTCCCGAAATCAAAATAAAGAGAATGCTTATTCCTCCTGGCACTACTGGCACTACACAACCACTTGATGTGTTTTTTTTCCGACCATATAAAGTATTTGTACTTTTTGTTTCCGATTCTCTTGAAATGAGCGAAATCAAAATATGGCAACGCAACAATTACTTCAAGTTGCAAGCTTTTTCTCATTTTCAGTTCAAAGCACCACGATTCCAAGACATGATTCAGTATGCCTTCTATAAAGCTGGTTACATGTCAGAGCGACCTGGAAATTTTATCACGCCAGTAGATTACTGTTTTCACTTTGATAGCTTAGAAAATTGTTCATTTCAAGATTGCTCCTTAATGTCTGACTTCAAGTGTGCTCATTGCTGCAAATACTTCTGTTTTCGACATTGCATTATCGATGAATTACATATTAATTGTAATTAACCGACCATTTATGTCCGGAAAATTTTTATAAAGAAAAAAATTTATAACCAGTGTTCTGGAAACGTCTCACTGTCAACGTCAGCTGTAAAGATATGCTATTGTTGTGCCGTGTTTCACAACATCGGGTTCAGGATCCAGTACTTCAGGAGTTACGCAAACACTAACACTCATCTATGTATTTTTTCAATAAACAATTGAAATAAAGTTCTTTATTCAAACCACAGATATAAGTCTTTATATTTTACAATATCTCTTTCACTATTTCCCGCGGGTGCACTTGTTTATCGAACAGGCAAAGAGACGCGACGCTAACGAGAATTACTAATGATCCGCGCCCGCATTTTGGCTTCGCGTAATATCTCGTTTTTCTGCCAGCCATCTTTGCCGAATTAGCGCTTATGTATCAGCGTTCTGATTACCGATCAAAGATGTA